TCTTAAACTTGATGGAACTGAGCTTTTACAAGAGCTTTTATAAGAGCTTTTATAAGGGTATCGCGCGCGCGGTGTTGGCGTGAAATTACAAAAATCCGTGTAATCCATGAATCAATTTCTATTTTTTTTTTTTTTTTTTGTATAATATTTTGGAAAAGTCCCCTCTCTGCATCGAATTCTGCAGCACCGAGAAGAATGACGAGACATTCGTGTGACAAGCTAATAAATCTCGTCAGAACATAATTAAGTTTGCCGAACGTTTTATATATTAAATTATGCGCGACGTTGCGCGCGGAACGCGCGATAAAAAATGTAGTATCTTTGATTACTGTTTTGCATGGAGATTCGCCAGTGCGGGAGGAGGGGGAGGAGCAGACGAGACGAGACGAGACGAGAGGGGAGAAGAGCGGAGAGAGAGAGAGAGAGAGAGAGAGTGTGCGTGGTATTGTTTTATTTAAACGAAGAGCCATAGCCGTACAGAGCCCCCGCCGTTCGCCTGGCTTTATTGGAAATTGAGCCAATTATGGTACTTGGGTTAACGATCCATTGTAATATAGTTTCGCGAACGCTATCCCGAACAAAATCCTCGTACGAGAGACGTCGTAACGTAGATTACTTCCACGTAGAAGTCGCACCGCGCGACGGTGGAAAAGTGTCCTCGACGAGACACTTGACCGTCGTCATTGTCGTGTTCGAAGGAAAGGAAACCGCCGCGCTACGCCGCACCGGCCGCGAAGTGACGACGATAAGCGAGAAGTCGTGTTCTTTCGGCTTGGACCGAACGCGAGGCGAGCCGCGATAGCGCGCGTTAACTCTCAGCTCCACACACACACACACACACACACACATTTTGCCATCGGGGTTTTGGTTCCACGCCGCGATCGCGGTTCAAAGTTCAAACTCGATTTAACTTTGAAATCGGGTCCGCTCGCGTTGACCGGTCGATGGCCAAGTGCCTGCATCGACGCTCCTTCACGAGTGTCCCGAGTATTTGGGCTCTTTAATTGTCGTACCGCGATATTGGTCGTCCTGACGTTTTTACGCAACGTCGCCCGCTCGAGCTAATGCCAGGCGAGTTTATGTGTTTAACGAGGCGCACGCGGGGGTTAAACGCATGGCTTGCTTTTTTCTTTCCCCCCCCCCTCTCTCTCTCTCTCTCTCTCTCTCTTTCTCTCTTTCCGCCGCCACTGTACGAATGAAATTTCCACGATTCGCTTTGGTATGAAATACTTTGAATAATTCGTGACGCTTGTTGGCTAGAGGATGCAAATGCGGGCTATTTTTTTTTCGACTATCGTCGTTATTTTAGGCTCGCCGCTACGTGGATTTCAGAGGGGATTTCGTAAATGGTCGTTTTCTCCGCGCGAGCGGAGAATGCTTCGTGGTGGATTTGAGGGTAAAATGTAATATTTGACGGTTAATTTATAAATATTCGATTTCCGCTCTCGGTAGTATACGAAATTAAGAGGATTGGATCGTTGTAATAAATAACAGATGTCCTGTCATTTTGACTCGAGAATATCGTATTCCATATATAGTTTTATATATGTATATATTTATGATATTCCATTTTTTACGATGAAATATTAGTGTCGTTCTGCCAAATTAGACTCGTTCGACTTTCATCTTTAAAATAGTTATCAAGAGGTGGGAGATATTTTCTTCCATGTGAACATACCCGATATGTAAATTTCAGAATGTATAATGTAGCGAAAACATTTGTACGAATAGCCTAGTCATCCGATAACCGACCACGCGTATCATCGAAAAGTGTGCGCAGCCGCGATATGTTAATTCTCGCAAACACGATAATAATAATTTGCAAACGCGCGGTTCGAATACGCAGATCGGCGCGCTTCAAGATAATAATATATAACCTCGGCACATATATGCATATTGCAAATAAAGCAAGATATACGACAAGTGGCCGGTTAGAAATAACATGTATTTTCAGTCAAATGAATATTTATAATATATTAAATTAACATGCGTATTTTATTCATTTGTCTTACGTTTCGAAACACACATTATTTTTATGCTATTCGTTCACTTACGCATAAATTATGTTATTTCAATACCAAGAAATGTTGAATATCAATTTAACGTCACTCAAAAAAAAAAAAATGATCTTGCTGTTGTAGCGAAAATTTTATCTATAATAAATACGAAGAATTAATTAAAATAGATAAATTTCTAGCAAATACTACGATATTGGATATATATCGCATATAATCATATAGATGATCGAGATAGAATTTAGATTTGTGCTATAAATTCTATGCGTATGACGCGTGATTTTCTATCGGATACAAAAAACAAATGATAATTCTAGCTGGAACAGCGAAATATTTTTTTGCGTGGCATAAATTCAAATAACGCTATCACATTATGTTGAATTAATATATGGATTAAAAATTCAACATAATAATTTTAATGTCAAGAACCGGTTTTAACACAAAACACCGGTTTTCTGTATAATGACATTCTCGGAAATCTTAATTACCTTTGTACGAACGTCACGTGACAATGCGCATTTAGCAGCCGACCGGCTGGTAAGACCCGCTAAATCGCGGGTTTATTCCGGCCTGCACGACCGATGTATAGTTGCGAGCTGAAGGGGGTAATTTCCGAACGATAATCGCTGTTTGAAGCTGTCGATCGTCCCATTACCTCTGCCCTCGTCCATCGATTTACAAACGATTAGAGTTACCTTCCGCAAACTCACCGTTGCATATACGCGAAGATGCAGTCGCGATCGTATCGAGTGTTTTAATTAAATATGAGATGGTACTAAATTTTCGTGCGACGCACGCTAAAAATATAAGCGTCAAAAGAGAATGAGGTTAAAGTGGCGGACTAATTTCAACGTTGAGAGAGCAGTCGTGAGTTCGATGAACGATGAACGACGAACGACGAACGGAAGGCTGAAAATGGCCATGGGGGAGATTTTGTAATTTCTTTAGTGACAATCTCGGAATTTTGTTTATGGCGATCGATGCGTACGGCGAAGCGTGGTTGAAAGGGCAATTCCCGAACGACAATGGTTTGTTCGAAGCCACCACCGACCGTTCCATTATCTCGACCGATTCGCAAACAGTAGTTATACACTCCACAAACTCACTATTTCATAGGTAAAGACGGCTACCGTGCCTCTCGCGATCGCACGGCGAATGTTTTAATTAAGTACGAACTTAAAACAAAGTTTCGTCATGGATACTAAAAATGCGCTCGATACCAGACGCAGAGGGGGAGGGAAGGAGGAGGAGAAGTTAAATCAACGAACTAATTTCAAAGCGAAACACACCGCGGTCCGGCTTCGATTGGACGATATAATGCGAAGGAAAAAAGGTCCGGATTCGTTCGAGGGAGAATAGATTCGGTGATTTTTCTGGCTGACTGTTATTCCAATTTATTCGAGCTGAACGAAAATAATAATTCGCCAACTCGTCGCTATGTAAACCGAGACGCAACCGTTTTAAATTCCATTTGATTCTTCGAGATTCTCTCTCTCTCTCTCTCTCTCTCTCTCTCTCTCTTAACTTGAATGTAATTCAATTATATATCGACTCGCGAATTTTTGTTTATCGCGGATCGAAGAGGTCTCTCGGTATTTTCGTACGCGACTAGATATTGTTATTCCCGGCGCTTTGCATGGATATACATAAATGCATGGCGCGCTTTGTGTACTAGCTTTTATTCGCCTAGCTTTTATTCTTCTGGTTTTTATTCTTCCATGTCACGTTGCATTTTGCCGCGCGCGAGCAAGCTAGACGAGCCGTGCACAAGGTATGCATTTGTTGTCGATGTATACATGTACATTCGGTGCTTCTCCGTCGACGATTTAATCGGACGATTTGAAGATAATTGTGAAATTGACGTCGGGCATTAGCGGATACGTTAATTTACTAATTCACTTGTCGTATAATAAATGCCGCCGATACGATACGTTGCGTCGCATTGAAATTATTTTTTTCCAACGGCAGGGACTTTAACTCGCAAATCAGAAGCGATTCATGCTATTGAACTTGGACAAACAATCAAAATATGCCTGGCACGTCAAATGCGCGTACGCATGTCGAAAAATGGATTTCGATGTCTCTTACGAGGGCTTTATTCATGTAGATTCGGTTATTGTCATGCCAACGTTGATTCGCAATAGTAACTACATTTCCTCTCTACGATTAGAGATATTATGCTTGTAATGAAATCTTATGCAGTCCCATTGAAAGTTATTTAAACCGTATGATGTAATTCTCCAATTTGTATATTTCTACATCCTTTATGGGGAAATACAATTCAATACTGGACAATTTAATAGATATTGAAAGGTACAAAAACTGAAGTAGGTATCCGAAAATGTAACAGACTAGATACAGATTTGTAAAGAATTTTATCGTATTATCAAAATAATTATGTATAGGACGTTCATTCAAGCTGGTGTCCGAATGTCAATTTTTTTTACAGATAGTTCATCATGCTCGAATTCCCTACATAATTATTAGATATTTGAGCCAAGTTTTTAAATATTTAAGCAAAAGCGTTCCGTCTCTGGATACATATAATATATGATTATTTATTTTGAATATTAAAATCGTTGAACTCTTGATACTCAAAATAAATATTAATGAATTTCCGATATTATATTTTTGTAAAGGATATTTGAAAATTTTTTCGCGATTAAAATTGTTCATCATATATCATATCATTCCTATTAATTATTGTTCGATACTTGCACGATTGACTACTATTTTCTCTCTCTCTCTCTCTCTCTCTCTCACGTTGCTCTTTCGTAAATTTCGACGCTAAGAATCCACTCCGAGACTTTAATGGGACGTCACTTTATTTGATTGTAAAACTTGTACACGCTTATCTGAGAAGAACGGAGAGTACCGCTTTGGCGTCAGAATATACTTGACGCGACAAATCCATCTCTCTCAATCCGCGTCTCGGTGTGTAATATATTGTACTTTATCTGTGAAGAAATATGACCGATCGCGTACCTGAATGGATCAGCAACGACGACAATACGAGGAGCCGGGGCAGTAGGACGGCGAAGGCCGCGCGCAACATCCTCGCTCCCGCGAGTGATCCTGATTCTCCGAGATCGCCGGGAACGCTCCGCGACGATGATGCGCTCGGCGCTCGGCGCTCGGCGCGCGGCGCGGCGCAGCGCAGCGCGGCGCAGCGCAACACGACGGCGCTCGTCGAGGCGGGGGAAGGCAGGGGAGGTGGGAGCCCGAGACTCCGGGGATTCCTTTCGGGGG